CGCGCGCGTCGACGCGCACCGCGCGCGCGCGTCGGGCGTCGCGGACGCGGGCGGCGCTCGACGCGTACGCGAGGGAAATCGATCGACGCGATTCGCGATTCGGCTCGACGCTCATCGTTGAGAAGATCGACGACGACGCGCCGTTCGACGCGTTCGCGGGGCGCGTGCTGCTCACGCGCGCGGACGCCCCGGATGCGATCCTGAGCGAGTACAGCGAGAGGGCGGGGGAGGTTGGCGCGGGGGGGGTGTTCGACGCGTTTTCGCTCCTGCCGGCGACGACGGGGGGGGCGATGATCGGGATTCTAGGCCTCGGGGGAGGGACGTGCGCGCGCGCGATGGCGAGACATCATCCCGCGGTGCGAATGATCGGATGGGAGCTCGATCCGGCGATCGTGGAGTTGGCGAGGAGACATTTCGGCGTGGACGAGCTCGAGCGGAGCGGGACGCTTCGATGCGAGACGGGCGACGCGTTCGGTGGGTGCGCCGCGTACGATGGGCTCTTCGATGGACTCGTCGTCGATTGTTTCGACGAAAATTCTACCGTGGTGGCGTGTCTGAGGGATCGCGAGACGTGGGCGGCGTTGGTGAAAAAGATGAAACCCGGCGGACGCATCGTCGCCAACGTGAGCACCGGACGCGGAAAGGGCGCGCGGGTGGAAGACGCGGTGGCGTGTTCGCAAGCGCTCGCCGACGCGACGACGAATGAGATCACGCTCTGGCGCGCCGGGGCGTGTGGGATATATAACGAGCTCGCGTTCTCCGGACCGCCCATCGCGTGGGACGCCGTGCGCGAGGCGCATCCGGCGCTCGCCAAGCTCACGCACGACTGGCATTATTTCTCCGCCCCGCCCGGGGCGCTCGCGGGTTCGAATTGGCTCGCGAACACGCTCGGGTTGTGAACTCGACGCATTTGTATCAACGCTAGGTAGTAAAACAACAACAAGGGTTAGAAATCACTAGGAAATAGTAACCGAGCCACGTCTTTGGTGAAACCAGCCGGCACGCGCACCGCGCGAAACCCGCCCTCGATCGCCTTCGCCACGTTCCGCTCGTCGTCATCGAACAACAGCACCCTATTCGCGTACCGTTTCCATTCCTTTTCCCCGTACTTTTCCTCGCAGAACTTTTGCATCTGCTTATTCTTCCCGCCGCTCACCGAGCACCCGTCTCGCACGCCGACGACGCTCGGCGTAGAAATCTCCCTCCGCGTCATCGCCCCCTTCCCGAGCGCTCGATCGACGTACGCCTGAATCACCTCGTACACCCCGAACGACGCTATCCGAACGTCGATCCCGCGCGTTTTCGCGCTCCCTGCGCGTCGCGCGTCCGTCCCGTCAGTCGCGTCGCTCGTCCTCCGCCCGTCGCGTCCTCCATCTCCCCGGCTCTCGCACGCACCCACGAACGCTCGAAAGCACTCCACATCGACGAAATCACCGTCTCGCCCCCCCGTCTCCACCTCTCGCGCCGACACGCGCTCGGCGCAGGCGTGTATGTTGAGCAGCGTCAAATCAAAGTCTAAAATCACCAACTCGACGTCATCCATCCGTCTCGTCGTCGACGCGCGCCGTCGCGTCGCCTTCGCGTCGCGCGCGCACGGCTGTACAATATTTCCACGCCCTCGCTCGCCCTCGGTCGCGCGCGACCGCGCGCGCGCGCGTCCGGCGTCGGGCGATGCGCGCCGTCACGAATGCGCCAACACTAAAATACACTGAAAAATCCAACCCATCGCTCATCGTCCCGCGCGCGGCGTCGCGCCGACGCGTCGACGCGCGCATGCTCGCCCGCGCCCTCGCCCTCGCGCTCGCCCTCGCCCTCGCGGCGCGCACGGCGCACGGGGCGACGACGACGGTGGTGAAACCGACGCTGCGCGCGCACGTGGCGCGACGCGCGCGCGTCTTCTCTCCCGGGCTCGATCCCGCGGTCGAGCGCGGCGCCGCGGCGTGGTTCGCTCGGCTCGGGTTCTACGCGCTGCGAGAGGCGGAGGCGGTGGGGTCGGGGACGTGGGGGGGGGCGGCGACGGGTTCGGATGGGTCGTTCGCGAAGTCGTATTGCGTCGACGCGCGGGCGAACGCGTCGACGGTGGACGCGTACGATTACGTCGGATGGTTGCCGATGGCGAATGCGATCGAGGATATGATCGCGGCGCACGCGGACGCGAAGGTGATTCTGTTTGAGACGATTTGTACGGAGTGGTGGACGCACGCGTCGGCGGCGCGCGCCGAGGCGGCGAAACTGGGAGCGCGGTGCGGATGCTCGTCCGGATCGCGATCGTCCGCGTCCGAGTGCGGGGACTCGAGTTATCATTATTGCGATGTGTATCCGTGTCTGTGGAATCGCGCGTTCGGCAGCGCCGCGCCGGTGGAGGAGACGTGGAAGCGGGCGTACATCGAGCGCGTGCGGGCGATCAAGGCGGCGGTGCCGAGCGACAGAATTCTGACGGTGCCCATGACGACGAACTCGTTCAGTCACGCCACGGCGGTGAAAATTTCAAAGGAAATCGCCGAGTTCCTGGGGATTAGCGACGATACCGACGCGTTCTCAGAGGCGTATCCGTTCGTCGTCCTTCGAGACGTCTCGCAGACAGAGCTCGGTAAAGGCGCCGTCGCGTGGAGCATCATCGTCCTCCTACTCTCCGTCTGGATTCTCTTCTTAGCCCATCGCAAGGATCCGGTGCGTAAATTTTTGCGCAGAAGACTCAAGCTCAGGATGTGCTGATCTATGTATTCCTATCAAACACAAAGCGTCTCGTCGACGCCTCACTCCTCGCCGCGTCCCGACCGAACGCGCGCGCCATGGCACCCGACGACCCCGCGTCCGACCTCGACCGAGGGAAACAAAAGCTCGACGCCTTCAGACGGGCAAAGGCGAAGAAATCAGACGCGTTGAAGAAGAAGACGACGGAAGACGATGCATCATCAACAGACGCGCGGCGCTCCGACGCGACGACGCCGCCCGACGCCGCGGACGACGAGGTGGCGACGCTGCGCGCCAAGCTCGTCAAGGCGGTGAAGAAAGGGAAGTCCATCGAACAGGAGCTCACGAGCGCGAAGGCGTCGCTGGAGGAGTTGACGAAGGAGAACGCGCGTTTGCGCTCCACGGCGGATGAGAGAGGGGAAAGAGACGCGGGGGCGAAGGCGGAGATGAAAGAGATCGGTGAGCGGCTCGAGGCGGCGGAGAGAGAGGCGTCGATGGCGAAGACGAAAATTGCGGAGATGGAGCGAGAGAGGGCGGCGTTTGAGACGCGCGCTGGGGCGATGGATGGGGAGGTGCGAGCGTTGGAGGCGAAGGCGAAGGAGTCATCGAAGGAGCTGTCCGACGCGCGCGAGGCGCTTCGAGAGGCGGAGACGCGGGCGAACGAAAGTATGCGCGATGCGGTGGAGTCCAAAGAGCGCGCGGCGAGGGAGGCCGAAGCTGTGACGAAGCTTCGCGAGGCATTGGACGATGCGAGGGCGAAGACGGAGGCGGCTGAACGGGAAACGGAATCGTTCCGACGCTCAGCGGAGCGGACGTCTTCGGGCGCGGAATCGCGCGTGATGGAGCTCAGTGCCGAAATGGAGGCGAAAACAGCGAAACTTCAGAGTTTAGAGGCGGAGTTGCTGTCGATATCGAGCGCAGCGGAGGAAGAGAAGGCGACACTCGCGACGGAGAACGTTCGATTGATGAACAAATTGGACGAGTGTCGCCTCGCAATGGAAGAGGTAGAAAGCGAGAAGGAGGTATTTGCCAGCGAATGCGAACGAGCGCTACGCGAGAGTGAAGAGCATCAGCGCACTGTCGCTCAACTCCGCCAAAAGCTGCAAGAGGCTGAAAGTTTAGCAGAGTCGAACGCAAATGAGCTTAATTCTCTGAAGCTTTCGAGCGAGACAAACATTGCTGTCGCTCAGGCAGAGAAACGCGCTCAAGAGGCGGAGGAGGCGTTGTCCATGGCGCAAGACGACACGAATCGCATAAAGTCCACGTCAGAGTCGCAGTTGAACGAGATGCGAGCGAAACTCGCGAGTGTCGAGTCTGCGCTCAAAGCCGAGCGCTCCAAATCGCCACCTCAACCGAACAACTCGGACGAGATGATGGGCCTGCGGCAACAACTGGATACCGCAAACAGACAAATTGAACAGTTACAAAGTTTGCTCTCAGACGCACGAGCGAGCAAAACGGCGTCCGCTTCGTTCACGAACAAGAAGAACGAGGATTTCGCGGAGACGGATATCGAGGGAGCCGTATTAACGGGTGGATCGTACGCTTTCGTGCCGCTTCAAGGTCACCTGAAGTCCGCAACGAATACGCCGGCACTGCAGCATCCAATTGCACTGCAGATCGCTGCCAACTTTGATAGGGCATCGGTGTACTTGCAACGACGCCCTTTCGTCCGCGTGGCTCTGTCTTTCTATCTGATTCTTCTTCATCTCTACATGCTGGTGTGAGTAAAAGGAAAATCAATTCACCCGTCAATGTTACATTTCATTTGCCTATTCGCGAGCGCCCTTCGACACTCGTTCACTTCTAGTATGCACTCTTCCTCTGAGTCATCCCCTTCCCAGCCACCGACGAGAGCGAGTAAAAGCTCGACCGGTGGCAATGGCACGTCGCCAGCGATCCAACGTTCGTTACGCGCGCGCTTTGCAGACTTACGAAGCGCCTTCTTATCTCTCTCTCGCTTTTCATTCATTCGACTGATAGCCTTCTTGAGCGGATCAGTTTCGGCGCTGATGATTTCATCACGAGTTTTTTCTTTCTCCCCCGTGGATGACTTGAAGTTACTCGCCGAGACGGTGATGTGCTGAATGATTTCCGTCTTGCGCTGCCCGACGGCGAGCACCGCTAGCTCTGTCGCCTTTTTGGCCATCGTGATCGGCACGTTCTCTTCCATAGCGTTATCAAATTTCACAGGAAACGCCGCACTCCTGTTGTACTGTACGCTTGTGCCGTGAATTTTAATCTTCACCCCCATGGTTATCGGCCAACGCTTAGTGTACAATTCGTGAACCTTGATCTTTTCACACAATTCTCTCGTCAATGCCGTCATCGTGAGAGCGATACGGTCGTGCTCTCCGCACGTCAACGGATTAAACATGCCCGCGGGTCCGCCCGTGACCCCCACTTCGCCGCCCACGTTTCGCGGCATCGGTCTCGGTTTGATCGTAAGCGTCATCTGCGTGCTCAACGAAGACTTTTCGTTCACTCGCTGAATGACCTCTGCGTCGTCGACGCCGTGCGCGGCTTTGCACAATTCGAGCGCGGGTTTGGGTGCGAGCCCGATGAGGGATTCCAAGCGCTTCGCGTTCATCGAGCGCACGTCCCACGCGGTGTGCAAACCGTGCTTGGTGAGTTTTGCTCGCACGAGTTCACCCTTACAGTGTGGCAACTCACTGCTCGAGAGTTTACGAAACGTCCGCTCTAAATCATCGTCGTCTTCGATGACAACAACGCCGTCTGGTTTCGCAAATTTTGACGCGATCTTGGCCAGGAGCTTGTTCCTCGCGACGCCGACGGAGACAACGAGTCCGCACTCTTTGAAAATCGCCCGTCGAATCGACTCGGCGAACGTCTTGCCGCGCTCTGACAGCTTTGAGCCGTGCTCGATTTGCACGTACGCCTCGTCGATTGAAGCCTTTTCGTAGATGACAATGCCCTTCCCATCAAGACGTAACCGCTCGCACGCGGCGTGCAGCTTTGCGTGTAATTCATACGACATTCGCGTGTACGGCTCGTACGACACTAAATGCTCCGCGGTGGTGTTCACGTGAATCACTTTACCGCCGTTATTCTCCAGGAGCGTTCGACACGCGTCCACGTCGTCGTGTTTCTTCGCACCGAGCGCGCGCGCGCGATGACACACGCACACGATATCTCCGTGTTGCCGCACCGCTATCGGTATCCCTCTCAAACGCTCATCTCGCAGAGCCTCCACTTGGGCGAAGAACGCATCCGCGTCCACGTGAAGCACGCATCGTCCTCTTCGTTTACTATGCGGCCGCGGTCCGCCGAAATCATCCTTCACCGTCGTCTCCATCATCGTCTCCACCGCGTTTCGACGCGCGACTGTTCCTATCTTCACCTCCTTCACCGTCGTCTCCTCGATCACTCCGCGCGCTGGAACAACCCGATCACGTGTCCGTCCGGCGCGCGCACGCACGCCGTGGCGCCGCGCGCGTCGTACGCGATCTTCCCGTCCAATCGTCCCCCGGCGCGCAACGCCGCGTTCACGCGCGCGTTCACGTCCGCCACTTCGAAGACTAATATCGGGGTGTACCCCGGCGTGAGCTGCGATTCGCTCTCGGCGCGTTGGAGCGCTAACGCCGGCGCGGAATCGTCCTCGGGAGAACCGCTGGAGGGATTCGCCAAGGAAATCTCAGCGTACGATTCGGTGCACACGGCGCACGTCGCGCCCAGGGCGCGCTCGTAGAAGTGCGCGGCGCTCGGGACGTCGCGCTGGAGGAGTAAGAGTCGGCGGAGCGCGGGGAATCCCGGGGGCATCGCTTCGCGCACTGCGGCGGTAGAAGACGCGCGCGCGGTTGAGGTTGGACGTCGAACGACGACGCGCGCACGTGAGGTGTGTGAATGCTACTACAGAATCATCGCGTTCTAAAACATGCCGGCGAGTTCGACGTCGGCCTGGGCGAGCTCGATGAGAAGGTCGTCGTCGAAGAATTTGCTGACGGTGACGTCCTCGGACATGCCCTTGCGTCGTCGCGTCTTCACCATGAACTCGCGAGCGAGATGAGGGACGGGCGCGGGCTCGAGCGGTCGCAACACGATCGTCTTGTCCAAAGGATCGCCCGGAACGACCGCCCAGTGGTCAAAGTACGACTGCCCGAACGCCTGGCCTTGCGTGTGGTAGCGAAGGTCCGTCTCAAATCCAAAGGTTTCAATCGCCGGGATGAGCGCCTTTACGGTGTACACCGGGGTGCCGGGTTTTGGCGCATCGCTCACGACGTGTCCACGGCGCTTGCTGAGGACAGTGTAGATGGCGCTCATGCAGTCCGCGGGGCACTGGATCTCCACCTCGTGAATAGGTTCCATAAGTCTCGGGGTGGCCATGAGGAAGGCGCTGTACGTGCATCGACGCGCGGTGGGAATGATTTGACCACCGCCGCGCTGGAGCGGAGTATCGGCAACCAAGGCGTCCAAAATCTTAAACTTGACGTCACGAATCGGTTCATCGCACAGCGGACCTTCGCGCGCACCCCACTGAAACCCCTGAACGATGGAATCCCGGATCGCACCGAGTAAATTTTTGTCAACCTCGGTTGGCAACGTGTCGTCTAAGAGCACGTTTGGACCCGTGGTGTCGGGGCCGAATGCCCAAACGCTCTTCGCCGCCAGCGCGTCCCAATCGTAGTTGTTCTTAAAGAAGTCGCTCACCGTCTTCTTCGGCGCGTCCAGACGAATCTTGCCGGTTTCGATGTCGCTCGCGAGACCCTTATCCAACGGCTCCGCAATCATAGTGAGCTTGTTCTTCTTGTTCGGCGTCTCCGCGTAGCACTTCAGCGAGCTCGTCTCGACAACCGTTTCGTTGAAGCACACCACGGGGTCGCTCACCTTGACTTCAATCTCACTGTACATCTCACGCAGATCCTTCATGATGCTGTCCATGTAAAGCTCGCCGGTGCCCATGATGGTGTGCTCGCCGCTCTCCTCCACTTTGGTCACGCACGCCGGGTATGACTTGGTGATCTTACGCAAGCCCTCAACCATCTTCGGCAAATCGCTCGGATTCAGCGGTTCCGCCGCGATCTTCATCACCGATTTATTGTCAAACTCCAATGGCTTGAAGATGTACAAGTCGTCGTCGTAGCCCTTGGGCATGACATCCGGGACGAGGGTCGCCGTGGTCGTGATGCTCTGATCGACGCCTTCGATGAGCACCCACGCCCCCGCTCGCGCCTCCTTGATGGGAATGCGGTACCGCGCCTCATAAATCCACATATTCGTCACAGCCTTCACGACGGCATCTTCTTCATCATCCGGAGAGAAGTTTTCGCCGAGAACGCGCACGTGATCACCCTTCTTGAGTGTCCCACACATCACTCGTCCGAGGGCGTCGAATGCTGAGCAGTCGCTCTTCGGAATAAGCTTGGAGATCATCACCACCGCCGGCGCCTCGGGATCACACGCAAGCATCGCGTCCACGAGCTTTCCACCTCCGCGAATCGGTCCGCTGTACGTGCGTTCAACTTTCATCGAAGCTCCTTCTTCGGGCGTCGGAACGTGCGCGACGAGCATGTCAACCAAACCGGAGGTGCCGCCGAAAATCTTTTGGCACGTCAACTTGAGCAAAGGTTTGGTGTTCGCCCGCTTCTCTTTGGGCTTGAGTTTAACGCCAAACTCCTTCAATGCGTCGGTCAAGCTCTCGACCTCCTCGCCGACAACTTGACTGAAAATTTTGTACAATGGCTGGAGAACAAACTGCACAAAGGTGCGTTCGCCACCTCCCGGAGGTGCCTTCTTCTTGAACGTTCGTGAGTCGCTATGATAGTACACGTCACCCCACATCCTCTTCCCGAACTCTTTGTGATCGACCGTCACGCCGCTGATGTCGGCGTAGAGCCTGGCGAACGACTCGAGCGTGAAACTAAACCCGTACAGGGCGCTACCGAAGCACACGTTGCCCTTTAGCGGGCTCACAGTGGGCAACTCGCCGTTCTCATCCGGAGCGTAGCACGCCTCGATCGCGGTGTTAATTTCCTCGATCGTGTGTCGAAGCTTGTGATACGCGTCCGCGGGTGGAAGCTTGAGCTCGACGATCAATCGATCGAGCTTTGAGATGAAGACGCAAATCGTCAAACCGTCTCGAGCCGCCTGCTTGATGTGTCGCGTCGTCGACGTCATCACCCCCTCGCACGCGTCGACGACGAGCAAGAGCCCATCTGCGACGCGCATCGACGCCGTCACTTCATCGCTAAAGTTCACGTGACCCGGAGTGTCGATTAAGTTCATCAACATCGTTTTCCCTCGACTCGTCTCCAGCGGCAGCGTCATCGGCGTCGACTTGAGCGAGATCCCTCGGGCTTGTTCGTCCAACCGCGTGTCCGCGTAACGCAATCGCTCCTCGTTCACCAACCACTCATAATCCACATCGTGCGACGCCTCGAGCAGCATGTCGAACAGCGTCGTCTTCCCGTGATGCAAGTGTCCCGAAACGCACACGTTTCGTCCCAGCCGCCGGCTCTCGCGCGCCAACCCGTTCAAGAACGCCTCACCGCACTTCATCCGCACCTCCGCGCCCTGCGCCCGCGCCCGCGCCCCCCCGGACCCACCGCTCTCCCTCTCCGCCGTCGCCTCGATGTTTCGTCGCTTCACCGGCTTCACCAGCGGTTCGTCCAATCCCTGCGCGTCCTCCGTCTCCACCAGCGTCTCCGCATCCGCCCCGTACACCTCCTCCGCGCTCGGGTAGTACTTCTTATCCTCCGCCAGGACCACCGCGCGCGCATCGTCATTCGCGTCGTCATCGTCGTGCGCGTCGTCGTCGTCGTCCCGCGCGTCGTCGTCCACGTCGTCGGATCGCCCGTCGCGGTCGAGCACCGCCGCCTCGGCGCGATCCATCCACGCGTCGTCCGCGTCGTCGCTCGCGTCGTCGTCCGAGCGCACGTCGGGACCGACGTAGTTCCCGAACTCGTCGTAGAGATCGGACATCGCGGGCGGGAGGGCGGGGTGTGCGGGTGCGGCGACGGGGGCGGGACGATTGGCGATTGGGTGGGATGGCTAAACCCTCGATGGAGGCGGAGGCGGAGGACGACGGGAGCGCGACGCGGAGGACGCGTTACAAGAAGGATGCAAACTAAGGGTGCGACAGAGCGAACTTACGCCCCGAGCGGGCGCTCGCGCGGTTCGAGGTTGATCCAAACGCCCTCGGGGAAGCAGATGGTGGTATCGTACATGATGTTGAGCTCCTCGCCGACGGCGCCCTTGGAGTGGGACGCCTTGGAGAGCTTAAATTTTTGAACGGTGCTGGCGAGCATGGTCGTCGCGGCGAGTAAGGCGAAGACGCCGCCGATGCATGAGCGCGGACCGGCGCCGAACGGGGTGTACGTGAAGTCACGACCGGCGTTCATGCGGCGACGCATGCGCTCGCGCGCTTGCTCGAGCTTGGCGGGATCGCCTCTCGCCACCGCGGACGCTTGCTTCTCAGCCTGCGCGTACAGCGCCTCATCGGTAAAACGATCGGGATCGAACTTGTTTGGATCTTCCCAAACTCGTGGGTTTCGTCCCATCGCGTACGTGGACAACAGGATGAAGTCGCCCTCTTCGACTTTGTGACCGCTCGGGAGCGTGTCCGGTCCCTCGGCGAGGCGGGGGAACAGGTTGATCGGCGCGTACTTACGGAGCGATTCCTTCACCACGCGCTGCGTGTACGGTAACTTGCCCTCTTGCACGTCCTGGAACGTCGGCGGTCGCCCACCGAGAGCCGCGACTTCCTTTTCAATCTGCTCTTGAATGTGCTCGTACCTCGCCACGTGCCACAAGTTCACCGTAAAGTTGGAAGCCGTCGTTCGGTGACCGGCAGCCATGATGTCGTTAATATCCCCCCACAAATCGGCGTCGGAGAGCGGCTGGCCGTCTGCGTCCTTAGCCTTCACCAACACGTCTAACAAACAGTAATCCTCCTCGTCACCCGCCGCCAGGCGCTCCTTGACAATCGCCCTCCTCTCAGACATGAGCTTTGTGCCCACGGATTCCAAGATTGCGTATTGCTCCTTGAGCTCTCGCACTCGACCGAGACCCAAGAAGTTCTGGAGCTTTAAAATCGGCCCAGGCGTGATAAAAAGTTCCCCCATGATCTCACTGCTCCCGTTGTACGCGGCCAGAAGCTTGGAAACGTTGCCATCCTCATCCGCCTCGCCTCGAAGCGTCTTTGCCTCGTGCGCCTCGCACCGTTTGAAATCGTATGCGAACGCCACCTTGCCGATGACATCGAGCGTGACTTGCTGCGAGTCGTAGTCAATGTTGATCTCATACGGTTTACCACCTCCCATTGCATGCGCCTGTTGCCAAGTGTTGCACATGTGCGCGATGCGCTCCTCCACCGTGCTCGAAAATTCAGCCAACGAAAACGAGTTGATGAAGGGCTTCTGACACATCAATCTGTGGTCGCGGTTGTACTGCCCGTCGCTTCCGGTGATTCCCTTGTTCTGAATCACGTATCGAAACGCGTCCGGAAGCATTCGTAATCTGTAATTTTTGGCGTTCGTGAAGCACACGTACTCCACGATTTCTGGGTCCAAAATGGACACGCAAAACGGCCCAATGGCATTCTTAATCCCCACACACTCCCCCTTCTCTGCTGCCCAATCGAGCATGGCGATCGGCATGCCCACCGGATGCTGCGACGCCTTGATGAGCGACTTGAGAAACGACACATTGTCCACCATTGCCGGATTCCCGTTTTCGTCCCGCCTCGTGGGCGGCGGCGGAGCGAGCCCGAGCGCCTCCTTCGCCGCCGTGTACGGGCACGCCGTCCCGCTCGCCTCATCCTCAGCTCCACCCATCGCGCTCGCGCCCACCGAGACCCCAACCTCCGCGCTCGCGACCTCATCGTCCTCCGCCTTCGCCGTCTCCGTCGCGCTCGCCGCGCCGAACCGCCCCGCCCGCGTCCGTCTCACCGCACCCCCCATAGCGCCTTTTCGTCCCACGACGCGCTCGACCGATCCAAACCGTCCTCGCGCCGCGCGTCGTCGCCCACGACGCGCGACGAGCGACTCCGCGGGGGCGCATCGCGTCGACATGTCGATCGCGCGCGCGACCCCACCGCTCGAGGGTGTGATGCGCTCTATCGCCGTCCCACGTCGCGCGCGAGAGAGAGACGCGCGCGCGTCGGGCGCGTTCGCGAGAACGACCGCGTCGCCGCGTCTCGAGCACCCGTGACGGGCGCGCGGTCGCGGAGACGCGCGTTCTGACGCGACGCGCGAAGGGATGAATATCTTATCGCAAAGGGTCGCGGAAAGATCTTGATTGATCGCTTCGTGTGGGCGAACAGTTTGATGGTGGATGTTCGATGGTGACACGGGGTTTAGGCGCGGCCGGCGGCGCGCGCGGCGCGGCGCGCGCGCGGCCGGGCGACGACGGCGGCGCGGGGCGGATGCGCTCGAAGGCGGACGAGCGAATCGAATACATAACATTACGGTTTCCCGATGTTGAGCCGAGCGGAGACCGCGCCGTTGACGTCGTACTCGCGAACGACGCGCTTGGCGTACTCCGGGACGTGCTCGCGCGCGCGCTCGGCGCCCCAGACTCGGTTGACGTAGAGATAATTCCGAATGGTGTGATAGTCGAGACTGTACATCCCGAACTCTTTTCCCTTGGGGCCGATCTTGGTGAGAAGCCACGCGATGAGCTTGCCGACGAAACGCGGCGCGGGCTTTTCTGGACCGCGCCCGAATTTGGCTTCGTCGTCGGCGACGACTGTTTGCATGACGAACGGACGGCGGTCGCCCGAGGAAGTCGACGGCGAGACGTCCATATCGTCTCGAACGAGATCGATCATCTCTCGTCCGCGAGAGTTTCTCACGGTGACGTACTGAGGATGCTCGTTCATGGGCTTTGACGGATCGTACTCGGAGCCCATGTATCCTACGACGACATCCGCTAAACCGTTCACGTAATCGAAGCACGAGTAACAGCTCGGCGCGATCACGTCGACTAAATCATTCGCCGGAAGACAAAAGTACGGCACCTTCTCGTACGTCCCGTCGAGATGTTTGAAGTGCACCTGATAGTCGGGCATGAACTCGTAGTGCAGAACAGTGCCCGGATTCTCGCTCGAGAGTTGGATGAACTTCTGAAACGACTCCAGACGCCCGTTGTCGGTGCAGTTCACGCCCATGACGTACAACTTATCGAATCCCAAATACGGCTCCACCGCGCGAAGCGCGCTCACGGCGCAGCCGACGCCGATGAATAAAATCCGCTTCAAGCCGCGCGCCTCCACCTCGCTCAGCACCGAGAGATTCGGCGACAGGCTCGGTTTCACCCCTCGCGCGCTCACGATCTCCTCCACCGTCGTCGCCAATATCGGACGCGGTGCTCGCGGTTCATCCGGATCGCTCGCGACGCAAATCACACCCTCCACCATGCCGCTCTCTAACATTCTCTTCGCCACGCTCGTGACCACGCCCGTCCACTGCGCCCCGTCCACCGGTCGCTTCATCGCGGCGTAGAACGTCTCATCCACCACACCCAATCGGTCCTCGTCGTCCGGCGACGCTCGGCGACCTCGACCGTGCACCACGGGCTCGAGCGTCTCGACGCGCGACATGCCTTGGCCCAGGAACGCGCACGCGTCCCGCACGCGCGCGACGTGTTCGGTGTCACACAGCCCGCACTCGCTGCAGTGCTCCTTCGCGGGATACGTGGAACCATTTTGTATCGGACGCGCGGATTTCGCGCGCGGGACGACGCGGGCGCGCGGATGCGGCGCGAGCGTCGCGCGCGCGGCGGACATGGCGCGCGGCGAGTTGTGCGGCGTCGGCGCGAAGGGCATCGACCTCGACGCCGATCTCGATCGGTCGTGATGAATGATTCGGGTTATGAAGAGCGATTTAATCAATCGACACGTCGTCGCGTCGCGATTATCCGCGCGCAGCGACCCGCATTGGCTGTTCGTCTTCGCTCCGCGGCGCTCCGTCTACGAAGTCGCCCGTCACGTTACGCCAATCAATGCGCGTACTCCGCCGCGGAGGCGACGTCGCCGTGTGATTCGAAATATTCCACCAAGTTGGCGAGAAATGTGTCGCTCCGAGATGTGTCGCTGTCGATGATGAGGCAACAGTGCTTGCGCGCGCGCGTGACGGCGACGTTCATGCGCCTGCTGTCGGACAGGAAACCGACTTCTCCGCGCGTATTCGATCTGACGGCGCTGATGATGATGGCCTCTTTCTCGCGTCCCTGGAACCCATCCACGGTGGATATCTCTAAGTTTTTTAGGGCGTCGTCTCGCGCGCGAAGCTCGCGAAGGAGTGTGACTTGTCCGTTGTACGGCGTGATGACGCCGATTTCATCCACGGGAACTTCGTGCTGAGAGACGAGACGCCGCACGACTTCAACCACCACCTCCGCCTCACCGGGATTCTCTTTACTCTCACCATCCTCCTCCACACGTTCCTCCATGTCGCATCCCGCCGTGTCGATCAGGAGTAAGACTGGGGGATCGTCCTCTCCGTCGCCACGAAGGCGATGCGTCGCGACTGATTCCGCCGCGGTGAGCTTGCCTTGATACATCGCCTCCGACGACCACGTCATGATGTCGGCGTGCATACGATACTGTACGGTGAGCATGCGAGAGATGGTATTCCCGTACGCGTCGTGCAATCGCTGAAAGAGGGTGTCGCTCAGACCTTTCGCCTGCGCCTCATCGGAGAGCACGGTGGGAGGCAGCTGCAGGTGATCGCCCGCCAAGACAGTCTTCTTACCTTTCAAAACTGCGCCCCAACACGCGGCCTCGAGCGCTTGCGCTGCTTCATCTATGACGACCACGTCGAAGTCCTGAAATTTCAGAGTTCCAGAGAGCGCGCCGCTGAGCGTCGAACACACGACTCGAGCACCGTTCACGACATCCTTCATCGCCTCCTTCTGGCGCGCCCGCTCCTCCTTGCCCAGAATCCTCAACTCCTTTCGAACCTCGTTACGCTCGGCCCGATCCTTCCTATCAGTGAGCTTAGCGAGCTTTCGCCGCAGCGCTTTGCTCTCTTTCGCGCAATCTTTCGCGAGCTTGCTATTATCGCACGCGAGGAGCTGCGCCTCGAGAGACGCCTCGAGCACCGACGGAAGCAATCTCGCCGGATGACCCACGCGAACGAGACGCATCTCACCACCCCCAGGGAGCTTCACTCGCATCAATCGCTCAACCAAGTTATCTATGGCGATGTTCGACGCCGTGCACGCGAGCACACGGGACCCGCGGGCGACTTCCTGCGCGACGTACTCGACCACCGCCGTGGTCTTTCCCGTCCCGGGTGGACCGTGAATGAGCGCGAAATCCACGCATCGCAGGGCGTGCTCTATCGCTTCGCGCTGCGACGAATCCAAGTTCTCGTTCAACCATTTCACCTCCTTCCCGCTCTTCGCCACGCGAGGGCTCGAATCGCCGAACGCGACGCCGACCAGGTGCGCGCCCGGTTGCTTGGCGTCGCTCGCGCCTCCGTACTTCCCCACTCGCTCTACCGCTGCGACTAATCGCTTATGGGTCTCCTCGTTGGACAAACGCTCTAAACGTAAAGTCCCTGATAGATCATCGGGGGCGTCGTCGCACGCAATTTCGATCTGTGCGTCTCGTATTCTGTACACCACGCCGCTCGCCAGCGGTTCGCCCTCGTTCGTCGCCTTATTCGCGCGCAAGCACACCACGTCGTGCGGACTCAGCCTGTTCGGTGGCAGCGGCGTCGGATGACTCGGATCGATTCTCTTCGCGAGCTCGAGCGTGATCACCGTCTGTCCGAGCAACCCGCCTCTGACGTCTGTCGCCGTGAGTCCGAGCAAGGCGCGGCCGCGGCGCTGCGCCGCCGCCGGAGATAACCCTCTCAAAATCTCTTCCGCGCTCTCCGTCTCCGCGACGCGTTCGAGCTCTAACAATCCCAACGTTCGCGTCGTCCATCCCGCCAAGCTCTCATCGGAATCTCGCTCGCTCGTCTCGCCGCCGCCGCGTCCCGCTCGACGCAGGTCGCTCGCCGCGCACGTCAGCCCGAGTTTTGTCGTCAACACGCTCGCGATTTCGTCGTCCCGTAGGGCGTCAAAGGCACTGACGACATTCGTGGCGTCGCTCGAGCCGATCGCGATGCGTCGATCGCTCCCGGTACCGCTGGAGACGTGTTCGAAACCATTTTTTTCACTCCAGGCGTGTAACTGTTTCCTTTGTGTGGCGTTTAACGCCGGTGAGAACTCGACCCTGGTCGTCTCCGTGGACGTCGCGGATGGCGGCATCGCGATCGGCGCGCGCGGCGCTTCGCGCGAGGTGGAGGGACGCGCGCGCGCGAGTGCGGTCAGCGCGCGCGCGTTGAGGTCGGTCGGCGAAGACGAATACGTATCGTTGATGATGCGTCTAAGGGCGATGACGAGGCTTTAGGCTAAGAATCACTCGTGAGCGATGCGGCTGATTCAATGATCCACGCGAGCTGCATCGCGGCGTCGCGGTGGATGCCGACGCACGTCGCTCGGTCGCGATCGAGCGCCGCGGTGGAGACTTGGGCGACGGCGCTCGGCTCGGGCGCGCTCGCTGGCCAGGAATCGCGCGTCGCGTCTTCCACGGCAGTGGCGACGGAGAGCAAAGCTTCTTTCACCGCGTGTGCGAACACTTCGATGTCGCTCTCCCATTTGGCGACGATATTTCGTGCGCGAGTGGCGACTCGCGTCGCGTCGTCGCGGACGACCCATCGAGCGTCTTCTCCCCGTTCGATCGATTCGATGATCTCTTCGATCGCTCTGAGCGCGCTCACGGTGAGTTTTGCGAGTCCATCGCGCGCGAACTCTTGGCAAATGGTATCCAGCCCATCCTCCAGGGCCTCCACGACCGCGGCGGCGCCGTGCCTCTCGCTCACTTTTTTCTCGGCGTATCTCGCCAACGATGAAGTCATGTCTTCCGCGCGAGCGTCCACGAAACCGATGAGTGAAGTCAGCGTCTTCGCCGCGGACTCTACTTGAGCGGCGTGCTCCGCGTCCTCCTCGTCATCATCCAGGGGCACGGCGACGAGCGTGGCCTCGACTCCTGGCGACGAAGGCTTGCCGGCGCTCGGCGCCTCGGCGCTCGTGGTGATGTGTTCCTCCCATCGACGAACGCTCTCGCGAACGCGCACGATGTCCGCTTCCTTCACGCACGAGCGTGCCAGGGCTGCTCTCGCGGCGTCGCTCGCTCGGTCGATGCTCGTTCGCACTTCACCGAGCCCGAACTCGTCGAGCCTCTCCAACAACGCCAATCGAGCCTCCTCTTCCTCTTCTGCGCTATCCTCCCCCGCGAGAACGTCCGCGGTGGCGCGCGCGGCGACGTCTGCGGTGGCTTTGACCACGTTCTTCAGCGCCCCCAGGGCGCCGATGCCCACCGATCGCGCTTTATCCACGTCAGCCTTCTCCAACGCCTCTCGCGCCTTACTCGCGGCGCCGCCGAGCGCCGCCCACGCGCCGCTCGCGAAACTCTCCGCCAGGCGCATCGCATCCTTCGCCCCGGGTCCACCTAGATCACCACCTCTTCCGCGAGACGTCTCCGCGTCCGATCCATCGTCTGCATCCTCGTCGTCGCTCGGCGCCAACACTCGCGTCCGCGCGTCGTCGTCGCCCACCACGTGACTCCCAAACTCTCTCAAATCTCTCTTCAGCGCTCGAGCGCGCTCCGAGCTCCCAACCTCGCGCATCTTCTCTCTCGCCGCGTTCAATCCGAACGACGCCCATCGGGTGACGTTCGCCGCGAGCGCGTTCACCTCGGATGGAAACAGCGGCTCGAGCGCGCGCGTCTCGCGCGTCTCGCGCGTCCCGTCGTCGCGGCTCTCGCCACCCGTCGGCACCGTCGACGTCGGCACCGTCGACGCACCCTCGCGCCCGTCGTCGTCGTCGTCGTCGTCGTCGTCGTCGTCGTCGTCGTCGTCGCCACGCGTTTCCTCCGCCGTCGACCCAGCATCATCCATCGACGGATCGACACCCTCCGCCGTCCCCACCGCGTCCGCGTCGCCGTCCGCGCGCCCGTCGTCGGCGTCGGCGTCGTCGGCGTCGGAATCGCTCGCGAGCCAGGCGTCGATGTCGTCGTCCTCGACGTCGTCGTCGGGCATCGAGACCGTTCGCGTCGCGCACTGATGATGATGATGATGATTCCGCGTCGACGCACTCGCCGACGCGCGTCGATCGGGCGTCGGCGCCGACGGCGGCGCGCGCGGGCGACGACGGCGCGCGCGATGGCGCTCGGGCGCGGACGCGGGCGCGGGCGCGGCGTAGGGGCGAACGACGGTTCGTATCTGGATCCTTTTTTTTGGTACTTTGTGCATCAGAGCGTCGGGATGATCTCGAGCGCGTGGCGTCGATCGGTGACGACGATGGGATTCGAACCGCTGGGGGCGGCGCTGACGCTCGGCGTGGTGTTCGCCGAGCGCGCGGTGCGGTGGATACCCGTGGAGGAGATTCGGGAGGGAGCGCTGCGGGCGGCGTTCGGCGACGCGGAGACGGCGCGGGCGTGTCCGCGTTCGATGCGTCGAATGACGATGCTCGCGTTCGCGAAGACGTGCGTGTTGGCCACGTGCGCGCATTATAACGATTACCACGCGGTGTATAACGCTGGGTCGTTGTTCGCGAAGATGGTGGAGACGGAGAAACGCGTACGCGCGAGCGTGACGCGAGACGCCTCCGCCGCGGCGACGGCGGCGTTCGCACTAGTCTTGGGCGGGTTAGCGAACGCGACGGCGGTCGTGTCGGCGAATTATCTGTTTCCAGATCTCGCGTCGCAGTGTTTTCAGGGAAGCAGTGGGCTCTTATTCGCGCTGAAGACGTATCGGGCTCGGGCGGATTTTGCGGCTGGCGTTCGAGGACGCGTATCCTTCTTCGGCTTCATCGATGTCCCGGCGGAGATGGCGTCACTGGCGGAGATTGCAATATTGTACATGCTCGACTCGTCACCGGCCATGTTGAACGTCTACGCCTCGGGCGCCGTCGTCGGCTTGGCTTTGGCCTCGTTTGAGTCGTCCGCCATGAACGCGCTCGCGCGAGCAACGCGCGGCGTGCAGAGTTTACTATCTCTCGCTCCGGGGGGGCGAATCGGCGCGCGGGTCGTGCTTACGGGAATGCGAAACGGCTCTCTAAACGGTCAGTGGGGAACCGTGACGGCGAACGTCGGCAGTCAGGTGACGGTGCGCCTCGACAGTGACCGCCGAGAGGTGACGGCGTTGCCCAATAATCTCATCTTTCCCTAGACAAAAATTCTACGCTACAAAGTATCTACACGACTACGACATCGGTACCAATGTCGGTACCTCCCACTCACTTGTAACAGATCATCACGCGCGAATCACCGCGAAGCGATAGACCGGTCTGATTTTCCCCTCGCACACGATGTCGCGCTCAGTGTGCGCATCATAGGGATTCGCCCTCAACCACCGCCTCTTTGACGACGGCTGCACGTTTTCCTCGGACTTGATGTCAGATAAAGATTTCCACTCGTACTTGTGCGCTTCGTCCAACTCTGGCACGTTTTCCAATGGCATTGATTCCGATGGTTCAGCCATTTCGCCGATACGTTTGTACGTCACCTCGTCGAGCTTAAAATCATCGTTCGCCGCGACAACGTCGTACATCTCCTCAGCGAGCGCGCGTACATCTGAACAACAGTATAATTCACCGCCACTCGGCAACACATCCGCGATGGTACGCGCGAAATCCGGCGTCATGACGCGCCGCTCGACGTGCCTCGCTCTCGACCACGGATCTGGAAATTGGACGCAAATCGCTCGTATGTTGGGTAGATTTAAGCTCTTCAGCGACACGTTCGCGTTGCAGTGCACGAAATGCGCACGTCGCTTGAGCGAACCGCGATTCGTCTGCACCCATGCGTTAGCCGCGATGACTAGTGGCTCATAAATTTCCACTCCGACGAGATTGTACTCGATCGATTTCGCCCTCGTGCACGCGTCGGCGCGCTCTCTCGCCAAAGCCTTGATAAAACCTCCTTTCGCCGTTCCGATGTCTACCAAAAGCGGCCGCTTCAGCGCGTCTGACCCGCCGAATACTCTCGCCCAGTGCGCTTCGTCGAGTGTCTTCGGCGTCTGATACGGCGCCGCGAGCGGATTCGTCATCTTCTTCATCCGACGATTTATATTCTTCTTCTTACCACTCGTGACGTTCACCAATGTCGTCGACGTCGCTTCACCCTCACTCGCTAACGTCGTGCGCTCTATCGCTTGACACACAGCCGCCGCGCCGTCGGCGTCGCCGCCGCCGCCGCCACCATCACCATCGCCTCCACCGTCGCTGCTCTCCTCTAGATCGCGGTGTAGCGTGCACATGGTCCCCCCGTCTCGCGCCCTGTAGGCGCAGTACCGTCGCTTGCGCTTCACGTACGCCAGGCAGAACCCCCGTCTCGGTGTTCCCGCGAGCTCGAGCTCCAAAGTCTTCAACTCGTCGTACAGCGCTCGCCACTCCGCGTCGGCATTGATCGCCGATAAAGAGCTCCGAACGTGCGTCTCACGCTCGTAAGTCTCGTCGCGATCGCGAAGGATCGATCGGAGTTCGTCGGCTCGGGCGGTGGAAGTCATGACGCGCGCGCGCGAGTGAGGAGGCGGGACGCGTAAAAAGCGCGTTTGATTGTAAGACCCTATCGAGCGCGTTGAAGCGAGGTGCCGAGAAACGTGCGGTGAAGGCGATGTCGAAATCATCGAAGTGCGTCGTCCGATTATGCTGCTTTCTGCGCCTGCGCGCGCTCCTCGTACCACGCCGCGACCTCCGGTATGGCGTGGAAGCGGTCGTAATACGCTTTCACTTCCGGAAACTGACTCATGCACGTCGGGTCGACGTGATCGACGTCCCCGCTACAGAATCGTCTCAACAACGGGATAACGGCGCAGTCCGCGATCGTCACGGCGTCACCCACGAGCATCTTCCCACCCTCCACGCGTTTCGTCAGAAATCCGGCGTATCGCGGGAACTCATCCGCCATCCACCGTTCACGCATCTTCTTCGTCACCGCGCCATGTTCTTCGCTTCCCTTCTCCACGTCGTGCCCCAACTTGGCCGGATTCATCCCCGCCACGAGCGCGTAGTACCAACTCTGATTCATCTCGTCGACCAAGCTCAGCGCCTCGTCGATCGCCGTCCGCGTCTCCACGTCCGCCGGGTACAGTGTCTTCGACAATCCACCGACGTAGCGCAGGATCGCATCGCTCTGCGCGATCGTGTGGCTCTCATCGACGTGCATGAGGGGCAGTTGTCCGTACGGTGTCGTCGGTTTGATCTCGCTCGGCCACTTGGCAAAATCGACGCGATCATCCGTGAAGGGAATCTTCGCGATGCGCATGGCGAGCCTGGACTTCTCGGCGGGACCTTCGATGTTGAAGTACTGCAGGCGCAATGTTTTTGGCGATGCGAGGGCGGCGGGCATGGTTTCTCGAGCGCGTCGGTGAGTGATGACGAAAGATGTCGAAAAGTGTCGAAAGAAGCCTTCTTTTTTGGTCAACTGTTTTTTCTATTTCGGTGAATGTCTTTGGAAGACGGCTACACGAAGGCGTTGCTGGCGCTGAGCTGCTGGATGAGACCGAGTGTGAGATCGCGATCGACCTGGGCGCTCGATGCGATCTTGACCTGCTCGCTAAAGGTTAAGGTTTCGAATTTCGAGAGCAAGCCGCCATCGAGGACGTCGAGCGGCGCGCGGAGCTGCACATGCTTGCCCTCAAAAACTTTAGGGGTGCGGAACGTTCGAGGGTTGCACCCGATGGGCGAACGCACCGCGGTTGTGAGCTCGCGTTGGATCGCTAGGAGCTTTTCGTAAGTCACAGGGTCGGTGGGCATGAAGATCCCGAGGGCGCCGTCGAGGGTGCCGAAGAAGACGGCGAATCTGTTCGCGCCCTTGGGCTTTCCATCCGTCGACGCCATTTTGGACTTTGAACCCTCGACGTTGAAGCGTACCATGCGCGAGATCGGCGACCCAACGTGATAAGCGGCACGCGGTAGAAGTTTTTGACCCTTCCATGACTCTATGGATTTCGGATCGTACCCAAAGGTTCGTGCGTTTCCGCTCATATCGGAACCGAGCAAGCTCAGTGTGGTGCCGTCGATTAGGAATTCCGAGCTCACGACGTCCATGCGTTCGAAATCCTTCGAGAGCTGAATGAGCGACTTCTCGAACCCCGTGTCCTTCCAGCGAAAAAAATGCAAACCCTTCTCCAAGTCTCCGACCAGGATGAAATTCTTCACAACGTTGATGCTCACAGTGTGAATCGGAGTGTCGAAGAAAGCGACGCTGTTCAACTCTCTTCCGTCCCATGTGTGAACCGTGAGCTTCGTACCTACGGCCACGATGAGATGCCCCCCGAGACCTTCAAGAGCAGTACACGCCATCTTCGCCTCGCGAACGCAGCACACTTGTCCCTTCCATCTGTATCCGTCAGCGGACTCAGAGTCGCGTTCCCAAACCATGTTGAAGAGGTAAACGCGACCTCGACATGGCGTATCTTCGCCACCGGGCATCGCCGTGCCGACGGCGAGGTATGACAACGAGTGTCCCGTGTTGATATCCTTGAGCTGCACGTTTCTCACGCACTGAACGTGTTCGCCAGGCTCCAGCGTGTGTTGCCACACACAATCGAGAGATCCCGGGACGAGAAGTCGCACTGAGTATTGAAGCTCCATGTCATCATGAGCCTTGGCGCGCTCCCTTCTCGCCTTGGAGAGCGATAAGCCGTGCACGTTCTCGCCATCTATTTCCCTATCGACCCAAGGCACGTTTGCCGACGTCACCAAGGCGTACAGCTTGAAATCTGGCAGGTACGCGACGGCGTGCGGCGTGCATTTAAGAGCTATCTTTCTAACTGGCCACGCCGCTTCGTAATGCATTTTACTCGGCATCTGACAGATGCGAACACCCCCAACAGCGGTCCCCAATATGAAACCGTACGGGCAGTTCACGTTGTGGAAGTCTGTGAAGGCGACTATTTCGCCTTCACCACGTGTCGGGAGAGCTAACACTCGAGACCTGCGAACGATCAGCCACAATGGATTCGGCCCCGCAACGAAAATACCTTGCAATCCTTGCCCCTCACCGACGTTGGAGATGCGCGTCAAACGCGTACCGGCAAGAGAATCGCGAACTTGACCTGCGACGCCCACACCGGCTACGTTTAAGCCCGAACCTTCGACGTCGATGTTGACGCGACTGAAACGCAGTTCGCCTCGCGCCAAGGGCTCTTCGCTTCCCTCGCACGTCGTCCCCGCCGGTACGATGAAACCTCGGTACAAGAGCAATGTTCCATCACCTCGTACGGCCGTGAGCAACGGACGTTCGTGTGCTTCCTCGAATGAGTCAATGCGAATGTCGACAATCTCTGGGATGCGCAGCTCGGAGTGAACGGGCCTTGTGGGACTCAACACTCTCGATCCCTCGGATAACCCATCCGCGTTCCAAATACGCGTACAACTTGGAAGTGAGAACAACTCCAAGCTCCCTCCTTCCCTCGCGATGGCGACGATGGCTTCCTTCTGATTGCTCGCACCGCTCTTCTTGCTTCCCTCCAGCCCAGTGATGGTGCCGTTCGTTGCAGAGCGATGAATCCATCCACTCTTCTTAGCGCCTCCACCAGCCGCGTCCGCCGCTTGGGCGGAGTCGTCGACGAGTGCAAACGCCGTCACGGAGGATGTGGGCATTGCCCCGGACTCCATCAAAGAAACAGTCATCTTCTTCTCATCCCCGGCCAACAATCGTAATGTACCATCGGAAAGACGAATCATGATGTACGGATCTAAAATCTCTGCCGAGGCGATCACGGAGCCCTTGGGGGCCTTAATGTCCGCCAAAGTCACGTCTTGCACCTTCATTCCACTCTTTAAGATGCGAATACTTGTTTCCGTGATTTGCAAGGAGCAAAAGTGACCGAAAAAGTTCGCCGCCGCCAAGGTGGCTTGATCCGTGATGAATTCGAGTGACGCGCTCACTTCTTGAAGCTCTTCCCCCGTCTCCATGATCATCGTCGACGACTTCATACTCAGTAGGAGGTGGTTGTGGAACGGCTCACGCACTTCTCTAGTCCCTTCCTTTCGATCGTGAAGAGCCCACAAACCTTGCAAAGTGGGGAGAGTACCGGCTTCGACCTCGGTTACAAGTTCCGGTTGCACGCCACGAGTGAGGATCGCCAACGCTCCGTTCTTCCCTTGTCCGCACGCCGTGACGAGCTCCGTTCGTTCTGCAGTGTCCGTTCCCACGGGCGCCGACGCACCGACCGTGATGTCCACCACCGGGGCGACACCGAGTAAGGAGTCTTTTACCTTGAAATCGTAACCGGCAACCTTCAAGCCCGGAACGACTCCGGCCAGTCCTTCCCGCTTCTTCTCCGCCGTCTGCGTCGTCTCGTCTCCGATCACGCTCTCCGCCTTGGTCGTACCGTACAACAGCGCCTCAAGCTCATCATCATCGTCCTCGGGCGACGGCGTCGACGGCGCCGGTGGAGGATCTTCAGTCGATTTTGCGCGCTTGCGTATGGCGGCTCCATCACCCGACTTGGAGCGCTTCCCGCTTCCCTTTTCTACTTCGTCGACCGTTTCCTCGTCGTCTTCGCCCTTCGGTAGCATCAAAGGCGCCGCTGGCTCACTTTTGGGCGTGAACTTCACCAAGAGCGAGTCACCGATGCGACTCCCCAGGAACAACAGGTCTCGTGAGAGCAAGCACATACCTGAAGAGAGCACGGCACCGCCCGCGCGTTGAAGCATCATGCGCCGCAAACTGCGCCCGTCTGTGTGAAGAGCCAACAAGAACAGCGCACCCATCTTGGTTGTCACGAGGACGCGATCTTCCGACACCACGGCGGCCTGTGCGCCGTCGAGAGTGATCTCCAATCCGCAATCCACGGCGCGCGCGGCGCACGCTGGAGGTGGATTCGCAACGGCGTCCTCGCCCATGCCCGCCAAGCGCGCCACGGTCTCGGCATCGTTCCCTTCTTGGGGCCCACCTCGGCCGAACGTGTTCAAACACAACGCCGACGAGCTCTCTTGAGACTCGTGCAAGAGGAAATCCTGGGAAAACACCAAGACTCCTCCCAGCGGCGGTAGCAGCGCCGTGAGCTTGTACGAACTCGACGGTAGGTTCTGACGCCTCCAAATCACCGTGCTCTTCTGCTTATCGACGTCCACCGATAAAGCGACGATCTCACACGTATCTTTTGCCAAATTATACCTTCCCGCCCACGTCGGCGTCTTCTCGTACAAAATTGCGAGCGACGGTTCGGCGTATCCGTGCAAGAAGCACACGTCCCGAATGCACCGCACGCCCGCCGCTTGCACGTTCAACGCGAACGACTCCAGGACACTCGCAGCGGGTCCACGAACTCGACCCTCTTCATCGTCTGCGCTCACCAACCCTAAACCACCGTCGACGCTCGCTAACACTCGCACCCTCCCCGCGCACCCGTCGTCACGCAAGACCACGGCGGCGCATCGTCCCTCGGGATCCGCCACCACCAGCGGTGCCTCTCGACTCATCCTCAGCGTCTTCTCCATCGCCGCGCACCCAACGTCACCTTCGAACGAGTGTAACGACGACGTCGTCACTTCTCCCGTGGACGCGTCGTACTCCGCCACCGCCAGTTTACGTTCGCGAATCGCGATCAGCAGCGCGTCGCGTTGATTCCTCGGCGCCCCGAACCGTCGTCGAAGCACCGCGACGGATCCGATCGCCCCGTGGGCGTCAAATTCCGACACCACCTCCAGCGATTCCGCGCCATCGCTCCCGTCGTCGTCGTTCGAGCGACGAACGGCGTAGACGGTGACGCGATTCGCACTCGCGACGACCAAATTCGGATCCCCACCGTCGCCCACGGGTCGGGTGAAGTACGCGCTCACCGCGTGGTCCACCCCGGTGGGCGGGTGCACCTCTCTGTGCACCGCGTGCGACATATCGAGCGCGCGCGGTGGCCTCGGACGCGGGGCGGCGCGGAGTGACGACGGGGGCGCTTTTCATCGCGCATCGGCCCGACGTCGACGTCGTACCGCCGCGCGCGTCTATGGCGACGCGGGCGCGCGCGGGAGGAGGTGAGAGCGCGCGCGCGCGCGTCGAGGGGTCGTCCGCGCGCGCGAGGCTCGGGCGGAGCGGCGGTGGTGGCGGAGGTGTTCGAGGGAGGAGAACTTTGGTTTCGGCATCGATCTCGCTCGGACGCGCGCGAGGAGGGACGCGCGCGCGATCGGCGGCGGAGAAAGAATCCGAGGGACGTGTGACGGACGGGGCGAGCGATAGGACGTCTTCGTCGATCGTGGAGGCGGAGATCGTGGACGGAGAGGTTTTAGACGTCATGGGACGGCGCGAGGCGGAATCCTCGGGCGTGACGAGCGGGACGACCCTTTTCGGGGTCCCGATGTCTCCGGAGGTGTACGCGATCGCGCTGGTGTACTTTGTGCAGGGGGTGATCGGGCTATCGAGGCTGGCGAAGGATTTCTACCTCAAAGATGAGCTGCACCTGGGGCCGAGCGAGACGGCGATGATTTTATCGATAGCCCAGACGCCGTGGTTGGTGAAGCCTCTGTGGGGCTTTCTGAGCGATTCCGTGCCGATCTTTGGCTATCGGAGAAAGTCGTACTTGTTGTTGTGCGGGGCTATCGGGTGCTTGGGGTGGAGCTCAATGGCGACGTGGGTGGACTCGCCGGAGACGGCGCTCGTGGCGTTCACGCTCGGGTCGCTGAGCATCGCGTTTAGCGACGTGCTCATCGATAGCATCGTCGTCGCCAAGGCTCGGGGGGAAGAACAAGGGGTTTCGGGATCACTACAGTCCCTGTGCTGGGGATTTGTCGCCCTCGGAAGTATCGTAAGCTCGTACTTCAGCGGTAGTCTGATCGAGACGTACGGCACGAGGTTTGTCTTCGGCGCCACCGCGATGTTCCCGCTTCTCATCGCCGGCGCGTCGACGTTGGTACAAGAGAAATCCGTTCCAGCGACCACGCGATCGCGCGACGGCGTCATCGGTGATTTCAAGGAGATGACTGGGAAGATTTTTAAAGTCGCAAAGCGCCGCGAGATTTGGGCACCCGCGTTGTTTGTCTTCCTGTACCAAGCCACGCCGAGCGCGGGAACGGCTATGTTCTACTTCAATACGAACGAGTTGGGATTTACGCCCGAGTTTTTAGGTCGAGTGTCGCTCCTTCGCGCGATTGCCGCCCTCGGCGGCGTGGCTCTGTACAACGGGTACCTCAAGCGCGTGCCGCTAAAGAAGATGTTCTTCTGGGGCACCGTCGCGGGCACTGTTCTGGGATCGACGCAGCTCTTGCTCATCAGTCGAATGAATTTGGAGTTGGGCATAAGCGACAAGGTTTTCGCCCTGACGGACACCGCGGTTTTGACAGTTCTGGGCGAGGTGAGCTTCTTACCGGTGCTCGTGTTGGCGGCGAAGCTCTGTCCCGAGGGTGTCGAGGCGACATTCTTCGCCGCTCTCATGTCGCTCTTCAATGCCGGCGGCGTCACGAGTGAGTTCTTGGGCGCGGGCCTGACGAAACAGCTCGGCGTCACGGCGGATAACTTTGACAATCTCTTCTTACTCGCCTCCATCTGCATAGTGTGCAACCTCCTTCCGCTCGCGGCGATTAACCTGGTGGACGAAGCCAAGGACGAGCCGACGAGCATCGACGAAGGGGACCTGGAATCGGGAACGAAGAAGGCGTAACGATTCACTGTAGCGCGCTGATAGGATGTAACAATTCATTAATGTTTTGGCTCTAAACTTTCAAGCCACGAACGATCGGTAAAGTGTGGTCAAACCGTGGACTCGAACCACGAGACGGCGTCCCGGCGAGACCCGTCGAACCTTTCTTCTGACAAGGGGGCCCTCCGGCGTCGAGACGCCATCATAGGGTGGTAAGTTTTGATCGATCGAGTGGAAAAGCTAACCAATATTCGAAATGCAGTTTGTTCGTTCTTCTTGAAGTGCGTTCGCTTGGGATGACCTATGTCTGAAACGTTGGAGGACAGAATAATTCTACCGCGGAATACCGTTGTTGTAGGAAAATATAACTCACTGAAGGAGAATGATCTGAAGGAAAGAATAAACTTGACGGCTGCCGAGAAAGTTGTTTTCTAAAGATCTGATGTGCGCGTTGTTCGGCTAAAACACAAAGAGGAGTGATTAAACCTGATGAGCAAGCGCGCGGAATGATCAAACAAATACGAAGACTCTGCGGTAAAGAAAATCCAAGAACTCAACGAGCAAGCGAAATAAACAAACTCTTTTTCGTCGTGACCGAAACTAGCGCAGGAGCGCGTTGATGCAGAAACAATACTGATGATCTATGGAGCAAAAAAGCGACACTCAACCAAGAATCGAACCTTCGATTTGCGTTCTCGCGAGCTACTGCGCTCGTTGACTATGTCGAGTCATTTCAGCGACCCTCGGCTTCTGCGCCGACTAGCGGGTTGAAAGAGATAAAAATAGAGTGTGCGTACGCTTCATATATGCGAGCCGCGTCGCGCCTGGTCGCGTCGACGCGCTCTGTGTCCAACAAGTCCATAATGTCTCCTGCGCGGCGTGGGAATATTTCTATCGAGACTTTGTTTGTACGCGCGAATCCTTCGCGCGCGCGCGCGCGTCGCGTCGCGTCGCTCGACGGACGATATCATCGACGCGCGCCTTTCGTTCTATCCCCCACCATCACCCACGCGCGCCGTCACGACCTTTTCGCGACGACGCCTTCCGGTTCCACCTCGGGCCATCCCTCGCTCGAGAGATCCCCGCGGGGCCATCTCTCGCTCGAGAGATCCCCGTCGGGCGTCGCGATCGACGCGTCGATCCCGGCGACGCCCGTGACCGAGGCGCGCTTTTTCGGCGCGTCCTCGGGAGCCGACGCGACGTCCACCCGGCCGTCGCGCGCTGTCGCCGCCGTCGCCGCGCGCGCGCGCGTCGACCGCCTAGGGTCAAAGGGCACCCGCGGTCGACGCGCGGGCGTCGCGGTTTTTTATTTTCACCCCCACCGCGCGCACGACGCGTATAATACCCCCCTCGAACGCGATGTCGCCCCCCCCACGTCGGATCGCCGTCGCCGTCGCGTGAAATCTCCCGCGCGCGCGGGGAATATCCCCGCGGCGACGGGCGTGGGCGATGGCGTCGAGTGATGACTCGAGAAATACGTCCCTCGAGACACCCGAGACGTGGCACCGTGGACGGCACCGTCGGCACGCTGACGCGGCGATGCCTCGACACGTCGTCGCGCGCGCGGTGTTCGACGACGCGACCGAGCGCGCGCGTGACGAGCGAAGACGAAGCGAAACGAACGACGGACGGCGCGATGCGGTGCGTGCGCGCGGTGCGCGAGACGTGGGCGGTGGGACGCGCGCGCGCGTCCGCGGGTCCGCGGCGCGGAGGCGCGACGCGCGCGCGGGCGGCGTGGAAGCTCGATAAGCACGGATGCGCGGACGGTGACGATCTGTCGGGAGATACGATATGGGAGATTTACTTCGTGCAGAATCAGCATAAGAGCGCGACGTGCTTGCCGGAACCGATCGATGTCGATGAGTTGATGCGCACCCGAGAGGGGAAACTTCGCCTCGACGCGGGGGAGATTAAATTCGTCGACGCCGAGGCGGATGGACTCGTCATCGAGGCCCTCGATGGGGTCACGGTGATCGATGGTAAACGCATGAAGAAGGGCGAACGCACCAAGGCGCGCTCCGGATCGGCCGTTTGGCTCGGGAAGGAGGAATTCTCCGTGTACAAGGATTGAGTCGCGACGAGACGCGACGCCTCTACGCAAGACGCGCTCAGAGCCTGCGCACGCGTCGGAGAAGACGCGCCGTATGTTTTCTCACAACCCCAATAGCAGGCACCTAATATGCGCCACTCTATTACGGTACTAATACTTAATATCACACGAGCGCCGTCGCTCGACACTTGTAATACCAGTCCGAGCTCGACCTCGCACACGCGCGTCGCCTCACATGTCGACCGCGCGCGCCGCCCTCAGAGTCTCCACGGGACTTCGCGTCCATCGCCGACGCGTCATGTCCACACAATCGCGCGCGTCGGCGTACGTCCCTCAAGGCCCGATCGAGGGCGCTTCGGTGGTCATCACCGGCGCCAACCGAGGCATCGGGCTCGAGATGGCTAAGCAACTGATCGCGAAAGGAAATCACGTCGATGCCGCGTGCAGAAGCGCCAGTGACGAGCTTCGCGCTCTCGAGGCTTCCTCGGAAGGGAGATTGACCATCTCCACCCTAGATGTGAGCGATCCCGCGAGTATCGACGCGTGGGCGAGTGGTCTGAAGGCGCGCGGCGTGACGCGAGTGGACGTGTGCGTGAACAACGCCGGCGTCATCGGATCCAACGGCTACGCGTGGGACTTAGAGAGCACGACGCAGGAGGAGATGATTTATGTGTTCAAGGTGAACACGTGCGGACCGCTGCTCGTGACCAAGGCTTTGTTGCGCGAGGGACTTCTCGGCGAAGGCTCGCTCGTTGGTAACGTCACGTCCAAAGTCGGATCGATCGACGATAACGGTTCGGGTGGTGGGTACTCCTACAGAGCGTCCAAGACTGCTCTAAACCAAGTGAACAAGAGCCTGTCCATCGACCTGAGAGATCGAGGCGTGCACTTCGCGTTGCTCCATCCCGGATACGTGCGCACGGGTATGACGGACGGCAAAGGTCTCATCGACGCCCCCGAATCCGCCGCCGGTCTCATCGCGCTCTTAGAGGGCGCGCACGGCGACTGCGAAACGAACTGGTTCGATTACAAGGGCGACGCCATCAAATGGTGACGCTCTAGACCGCATTTTAATCAATTCTTTCTCATCACCTCGAATGCACCATCGCGCGGGACGATGCCCTCGAATGTGGAGTCCCCCCCTCCACGAGTCACGACCCACCGTTTGGCTTATCCTCGTCAGAACGCGCTTTCCAGGTCACCGCGCGTCCCCGTCGTCCTTTCCCCACCGTGCGTCGTCGCGCGACGCGCTGGAGATCCGCGTTCGGAGGCGAACCGAGAGAAAATATTCCACTCGACGCGTTCGCATCGCCCGAGCCGTGAACGAGGATGGATCGCGTGCCGAGCGCGGACGATCTCATGTCCGCGCTCATGTGGCGAACCGCCCATCACGCGCACCAAAACGGCCCGAACGGCGGACAAGGGAATGCGCTGACCCCTGGGGTGGCGCGAACGCCGTCGCAAAACGAGATGGAAAGTTACTACGCGGCGATGATGGCGAACGCGGCGGCGGGAGGGAGCGGCGGGGCGATGAGTGAGCAATTTTTTGCTGGTTTGGGAGGCGCGTCGGGAAGCGCGCCAAACTCCAGAGAGGGAACGCCGGGGATTCCGAGAGTAGCGTCCATCGATGTGTTGAGGAAGATGATCATAGGCGGAGGATACGGCGGTGGCGCGGTCCCGGGCCAAGGGAACGCGTCGCCGGGGTCGATGACGCCGACGACGGCGCCTGGTGCGTGACGCGATCGCGAATGCATAGAGTACGAACCGAGTTGATTCGGGTTTCGATGACGACGGTTTCGGGTTCGATCACGATGACTGACGAAAATGTTCGTTTACGCGCGACAGCGATCTCGGGGTTCGCGAGCGGGGCGAATTTGAGCGCGCTTGGACAGCTCGGTGCCGCGGCGGCTGAGGCGGCTGCGCAGGGCGGCGAAACCACGACGACGGGCCGTGGTGCGAAACGCGGTGCGAAGAAAGCCGCGGCCAAGGCGCCGCCGGCGAAGAAGGCCAAGGCGGCGGTGGCCAAGAGCGTTGCCAAGGGTAAGAATGGGGTGAGCGAGAAGTCTGTGACCAAGGGTTCGACCGAGCTGGACGACGACCACGACAGTGATGGACAGTCTCACCAGGACGGCGATGGAACGAACGATTTACGACGTCAACGTCGTATGCTAAGCAATAGAGAAAGCGCTCGACGTAGTCGCCGACGTAAACTCGAGCACGTCGCCACGCTCGAGTCGAAGATTGCGCGTCTCCAAGCCGACTGGCAAGCTACCTTGCACCACGCACGAGCTGCCGATGCGCGCGTGTCGGAGCTCGTGCGAGAGAACGCCGCAATTAGGGCAGAGAGAGACAGACTACTTCAAATTCTTCGAGAACAAGGTCCGCCGGGCGGGAACGTCACCACTCCGAAGACGGGTACGGCGTTGGAGCGCAAATCTAGCCTCCAGCGCATCTCCAGTAACGGCGACTTGAAGGGCGAGCTCGGAAAGGGCTCTCCCACGATCGGTTCCGGCAGTGGATTCGTCCCGTTCAGAAGTCTCCAAAGCTATGAGAACCTGCTAGCTTTGCAGGAGGCCAAGGAAGGGAAAAAGTGACGGGTCACGCTCTGCGTGTCGCGTGGTCGCCTTAAGCCGTCTTGCACATTTTAAACTTTCAGACGTGTAGCTCTCTCCGTTCCCCACTTCGCCGCGCGTCCTCACACGTCTAGACGACATGACCGTCTCGCGCCTCGCCCCCGTGCACCACCGGTCCATCTGCGTCCCCAAGTCGCGCTCTCGTCGACGAACGAAGCCTCGCGCTGCGGACGCTAATGATTCCTTGGGAAATCTCGACGCGCTCTTATCCGGTGGAATCACCTCCGAAGACGAACGCGTGGTCGGCCCGTCGTCCTCGGACGACGAACCGACGACTTCCAGTGGCACGCAACGCGTCACGCGCGCCGTGGAGGTGAGACTGAACGACGAGACCGTCGCGCGGGTGGAGCTGGAGGTCGCGTCGGCGACGTCCCGGTTAGTCCGGGCGACGATGAAGTCGCCGCTCGGGATCGTGTTCGAGGACGTCGAGGGGGCACTGACGGTTGTCGAATTCTTTGATGAGAGTGATCTCGGACCGCGAGGTCGAGGGATTCGGATCGGGGACGTGTTGAGAGCGACGTCGGCCATGATACCAGAGATGCAATACCCAAAGCTCAACGTGTTGGGCGGCGGCGTCGGGAGACCGGGATGGCGACGGGTTATGTACACCACGGCGTGCGATTTAGATGGAAATCTAGATGACGTGACGTTCGATCAAGCGATGAAAGCGATAGGGAGTAACGCGAAGGCCGGCGACTACGACGTTGAGCTTGTGTTTGAGAGGCGAGCGACGGATTAGACGTTGTGTTCGTTTGTGAGTGGAACAACTTTAGCTTTTACATGATCACCGCGCTAGCTCTTGCGAGAAAAATCGACCACGGACGAGGTGCGAAGGGAGTCAATAATCTCGTCGCTATAGCCCTTACCGCCATTGCACGGGCGCACGGCTCGGATGGGGGCTAAGACATCCTCGGAGAAATCGCATTTGAAGCCGCCAATGACGGCGTCGAGAACCTCCTTGTCCTCAACGCAGGCCATGAGCATTCTCGCCGAGCTGTAAACTTCGCTAACGAGCTCGAAATCTGTCGCATCTTGCCCTTGAAGGGAGCCAACATCAGGATTAAGCGTCCGCATGACGTCGTCCACGAGCGCCGGCGCACATCGAAGTCCCATCAGGCGCTGCGTGAGGGCAATGCGAACACCAAGAGCGTCGGGTGTACCCTCTGGCGTCTTCATTGCTTGCTCGTACGCCGTCTGATCCTCCACCTTGTCGCCTATGATTCGCGAAATCCCCTCCACATGGTCGACGCCGACGACAGCCACAACCTTTTGGCCCTCCTCCACCTTGTCCGCGCACTCCCGAATCGTCGACGCCAGCACGGTATCGCGCTCGTCGATGATAATCCTCTCGAAACAATCGTGAGTCCGTTCGTTCGCCTTGGACGCGATCGGATGATCGTTCGGCAGGAGTAACCGGTAGTTTCTCTCGCTCTGCTTCGCGAACGTCGAGTCCAGCTCCGCGAGCGTCGGTGACGCCATCAATCGTCGATACGTCACCGCCTTCGGCCTATCACCGTACACCACACTAGCCCCTACCGCGAACGCCGCGGCGTAAACCAACACTTCCGGCGGTAACTGCGCCTTCATGCTCTCCCACTGCGGCGACTCCGCAATGGGTTCGAGCTCGCCCTTCAACGCGCCCGCCAACCTCGTCACGAACACCAGCGCCTCTGGCGCGTTCTCCGCGTCCACCATCATTGCACTCACCCCTTGTTCGAAGTTACACACGTTCCCGGTCGCATCACCGTGCTCGCTCGTCACCGCCGTCTCGACCACAACGAGCGCCGGCTTGCGGGACAAGATGTACTCCGCCGCGTCGAACGCCCCCTCCTCGAGATGCGAAACGCCGAACATGACGATCTTCTCGTCGAGCTGCGCGTATGCCCCGGAGGTCCAAGCGTCTGGCGAAGTCGTCACCGCGGTCGCGGGCGACAAGAAGTCATCCTCCTCTTGGTCCTCGAAGAAGCCCGCCTTTGGAGGGGTCGGGCGAAGCGGGCGGGACGCGGGACGACGCGCGCGATGGAGCGCAGGCGCGCACTTCGAACGGGTGGAGATACGCGAGGGGGCATGCCGCGCGTTGTGAAGCGCGAGCGCGTTCGCGGCGGGCATGACGCGCGACACTCTGCGGCAGGGCGAGGGTGCTTGGGGTAGGGCAACTTGGCCGAGCGTCCGCGCGCGATTATCAAAACTACATCCCGGAAGCCCTCCTGGCGTCGATGTCGTGCGCCCACGTGGAAACCTTGACGTGAGAGGTCGTCGTGAACGTCTTTCCTGCCTCGCCGCCGACGACGTCCGCGGCCTGCGCTTATTAAAATTTTTACGTCAGTCCTTCGTCCTCCGCTCCTCGCGTCGTCTTCGCGTCGCCCACATCGATCGCACCTTGGGCACGTTATTCCCCTTCCGAGCCTTCTCCGCCTTCTCCGCCTCCGCCTTCGCTTTCGCTTCGTCCTCTCGTCGCTTCGCCTCGATCATCGCTCTATTTTCTTTCCGTCGCGCCTTGCTCTTCTTATTGTTGCTCTGCTTATTCCTCGGAATGGACGATTCGCTTCGTCCCATGGGTTTCGCCCCGCCCACGGCGCTCACGGGCGGTTTGTTCGCCTTGGGCGGTTTCTTCCCATCGCCCTTACGCCCCAATCGCGCGAGCAGAGGCGCGACGACGGCGCCGAGGAGCGCCAACAGAATCACCCGACTCGTTCCCGAACTCGCCGTCTTCGCGCCGCTTCGTCCGCGCGCGCCCGTCGCGATCGATCTCTTCTCGTTCCGCGGCATCGTCGCGCGAGTATCCGCGCCTCAACGTCGAGCTCGGACGCGCGCGAGCGTCGAGCGCGCGCGCGAGCGCGCGGACGTGTGACGCGTCGATCGACAAAGCAAGTCCCCAGTGCGCGTCGCGTCGTTTCCAGCGCGCGCGCGCGCCTCGAACGCGCCCGCTCGCGCTCGAGATCGAACATGGAGACGTTGCCGACGTACGAAACGCTCGAGCGCGACGTAGAGGATTACGCGCGCGTCAAGAGAGACGTCGAGCGGTTGCTCGAGTTGGTGTTGTTCGAGCGACCGGCGCGACGCCGAGCGACGAGCGAGGCGCGAGAGGCGTCGACGAGCGGACGAGAGACGCGTGAACAAAAGGTCAACACGCCTCCGGTGAAGAGCGGACCGAACAGGGGTGGGAATCGGGAGCTGAAGGATTTGTTCAAGACGTACTCGACGACGGCGAGCGGGACGCGAAACGCGAACGGAAAGGCGAACGGGAAAGCGATCGCGCGCGCGGAGGTGGAGTGGCACGTGAATTCTTTACATAGGAGATTTAATCGCGCGCTGAGCGCGCTGTTGGATGATTTGGCGTCGCACGAGGATGCGACACCGTTTTTAATCGCCGTCGACGAAAAACTCGTGCCGGATTATTACTCGGTGATTGAGCGGCCGATGGCGGTGGTGACGATGCGAGAGAAGCTGATGCGGGGGGAGTATTTGAGTAAGGATATGTTTCTAGAAGATCTAAGGTTGATTGAATCCAACGCGGTGGTGTACAACGGGAGTGATTCGGTCTTTGCGAAGATGGCTCGAGCCGTCGTGGGTCGGGGCGAGGAGTTGCTCTCGCACATGCCGCGAGTGGACTTCGTAACGTGCGTTCGAGCGGCCGAGTACGCAGAGAAGCTTGTGAATGAACCGATGTTGGACACGTCGAACGATATGGATATGGATGACGATGACGAAGATGACGACGCGGAGACCAAGGCGTGGCGAGAGCGCACGCTCGCCAAGCGCGTTCGCCGAGTGTTTCGCGCCGAGGCGCTCGCCGGTCTACCGATCGGACAGCGACGCGCTCTGCCGAGACGAAGCGCACTCGGAATGGACGCATTTATGCGATCATCGGATGATCACTCGAAGTGCTGGCCCGAGGCCGACGATGCGAATCGCGCGCGGCGTCCCGAGGATGACGATTTCGTCGCCGACGCCGTGCCGACCGTTCCTCGGTACGCGGCGTGTGCCTCCGTCGCTCGCATCGAAGACATTCGTGCCGACTTAAGCGTCGTCGCCCTCAAGATTGCGCTCGATGATCGCCGCCCGATCCCGGGCGTCGGCACGAGATCGATCACGAACGTCGCCGCGCGGGCGCTCGAAGAGCTCGCGCACGAGTGCGTCTCGCGCGTCGCCCGCGCCGTCGCTGATCGTCCTCACAAGCGACCTCGAGACGATCACGACGATCGAAACCTCTTCCTCAGGTGTTGGGTCGCCGTTCCCGACCCCATGTCGACGATATCTCCGTGTGAGGACGTGGACGACGTCGTCGAGGATGACTTTCGATGCAAAGTCGCCCGCGCGCTGCGCGCGTCAACCGCCTTCGCGGCGAACGCGGCACTCGGCGGCGCTCGTCGAAAATCCTAGGGCTCGATCGGGGGCATCTGAGAGCGCGCGTCATGTCCGACGCGCCCGTCGACGCATCGAGCGCTCGAGCGCGCGCGACGGTTGGGAACGAGGCGTCGACGTCGGACGACCGAATTCTGAATCTCGGAGAATCTCGAGACTTTGTGAGCGAATTGCGCGATTTTAAGACGGTCCCGTCGCCGGTGAAGACGCGGATCAGCGCGCACGTGCGATCGGATAGCACATGTAGCACGGATGGGTGCGTCTTGCGCGATAGAGGACGCGGAAACGAGCGTGCGCGCGCGCGACGATTCCGCCAAGTCGGTTGGACGCGCGCGGCGTCGACGGCGCGAGAGCTCTCGATGCGTACGGAGACTGACCGTGCGGCGGTATTCTTTCGATGTAGGCTTATCGCGCCCGAGAACGATGATCTCGAGCGCGGTGAACGAACGCTTTCGGACGGAAGTCCCGCCAGAGGCGACGCGAGGGGGACGAACGGCGCGCGGGAGCGATTCGTCGATTCCTTGAGACGAAGCAACGTGCGGACGATGTTAGCGATGGCGCTCATCATCCTACTCGTCGTCTTATCGGCGATTTCGTTGAAGACACTGCGCAAGGGATGACGTGTGCCGCGTATTCCCTCGCTCGGACTCTTTCGCCTCCGACGTCGACGCGTCTTCGTCGCGCCGCGCCCGCACCCACCCCCACGATCACCTCAAACCCGTAGCATCACTTGTACGTCTTATTATCACAAATTGAAGATTTTCTCAATCCCTGAATCCCATCAACCGTCCCGCGCTGCTCTGCATCGCGTGAAACGTCCCGAAACACAAACCGATCGCGCCCAGCGTCGCCGCCGTCGGCGTCCGCAAGCACCGCTTACTCGCCGTCTCCAGCCCACCCACGACGTACCCCACCGAGCTCCCCACCGCCCCTCCCAGGAGCACGTCCCGGAGCTCCGTCGTCCCGAACGCGCGCACTGCGTCGAATCACACGCGCCCCCGATGTCAGTCCACGCGCGCGCGGTCCATCCCTCGTTCGATCGCGTCGTCGCACCGCGCGCGCGACGCACCGCACGTCCCGATCGACGGCGCGTCGTCGATCACCGGTCGCGTCGGGACGTCCGCGACGACGCCCATCGCGCGCGTCGTCCGTC